TCCTCCTCCCTCCTCCCATCTGCCCAACACCCAATGAATGTTACTATTATATGTGTGCTTATACTGTGGAAAGTAACACGGAGATGCCTCAAAGAGCTACAAGTAGAACTACCATTTGATCCAGCAGTCCCATACTGGGCATCTACCCAAAGGAACAAAGGACATTCTATAAAAAAGACATCTGAACTAGAATGTTTAAAGCAGCACAATTCACAATTGCAAAGATGTGGAAACAACTCAAGTGCTCATCAATCCATGAGTGGATTAATAAAATGTTGTATATGTATACCATGGAGTTCTCCTCAGCCACAAAAAACAAGGGTGATCTAGCACCTCTTGTATTATCCTGATAGAGTTAGAGCCATTCTACTAAGTGAAGTGTCACAAGAATGAAAAACAAACACCACATGTACTACCATCAAATTGATATTAACTGATCAACACTTAAGTGCAAACACAATATCAAGTATATATATAGCAATGGTTATATTGGTGGTACAACACAACAAATTGCTTTTTTTCAGGAATGAAATGTATCTTTAACATTTAAATTCATCTTTATAATTAACCACATTCATAGAATAAAGGAGAAAGTTTATAATTTATCTGAATAGATACAGAAAATAATTTTGAAAATATAATGCCCATTCATGCTAAAAAATACATCTGGGAAATGAAGAATAGAAGAAACATCTCCTTAATCTGATAAATCTAAAAAATAATCTACAACTAGCATCATAAGGGCAAAATATTGACATCTTTCCAACGTTACAATTGTATTCAACATTTACAACTTTGCAACTTTTACAACTTGTATTCAACGTTTATTAATAATGGTATCCTGTGCAGTGAGGCAAGGAAAAATAATAAGGTGCAGTAGTAACCCTTTAGCTATTGTTTCACTTTACATGGTTTCAGTTGCCCACTGTTAACTGTGGCCCAAAGTATTAATGGAAATTTATGGAAACAATTCATAAATTTTAAATTGTGAGCCATTCTGAGTAGTGTGATGAAATCTTGTGCCATCATGTTCTCTTCAGCCCTGGACGTGAATATCTCTCTTGTTCCAGAGCATCCACACTGCATATGCTGCCTGCCTCTTAGCCATTGACATCATCTGCTCCTGACATCCAACCATCGACATTGTCATGGCTTGATCGTCTGGAATCACTTGAAACAGATGATGCTCCTTCGAATGTATTGTCAGAAGGTCAGTAGTACCTAACGCTGTCACAGTGCCTATGTCATTTACCTCACTTCATCTCATCACATAGGCATTCATTCTATCATCCTCACATTATCATGAGAAAAGTGAGTATGGTGCAATAAGATATTATAGAAAGGGAGAGAGAGAGAGGAAAGAAAGAGAGAGGGGAGAGAGAGGAGGGGGAAAAGAGAGAGACCATATTCACATAACTTTTATTATAGTATATTGCCATCATTGTACTATTTTATTATTAGTTATTGTTGTTAATCTTTTACTGTACTAATTTAAGAATTAAACTCTATAATAAATTATGTTTATGAAAAACATAGTATTATAGGGTTCAATATTATTCATGATATCATATCTTGGAATATATCCCCACAGATAAGGGGACACTAATATATTAAGGATTTTAAAGGAAGAAATTAAATGATCATTATTTGCTAACGACATGATTGTGTATGTAGAACATTAAAAAATTACAGATATATTATTAGCATCAGTAAGTGAGTATAGCAAATTTTTGGACACAGATTCTATATCCAAAAATTAATTGTATTTCTCTACATGGGAATAAAATTCTAAATAAACAAAGATAGCAGTTAGAATACATTAAATATTCAAAACATAAAAATATTCTAGGGAGAAAGATATAAGTTCTCTATAAAACTATAAAATATTACTGAGAGAAGTTAAAGAATATATAAACAATTAAGTGATATACAGTGTTTATGTGAGAAGACTATATTGAAGCAGTTTAGTTATTTACCATGTGATTTATAAATACAGGCAATCTCAAATAATATTTCACTTAATATATATTTAATAGAAAATAATTAGTTTAAAATTTAATGAAATGCAACAGCCAAAATATATCCAGGCATTCTTAAATAAGAGTAACAGTAAAATGGAAGGTTATACTATACTATTCATGAAAAAATTAAAATCTGTGATAATGAAAACAACATGAACTATCGCAAGAATATAACAGACCAAATGACATAATTTGAGGATCAAGAAAAGATTTGCACTATATATAATCTTGATTTATAAAAAGCTAGCACTTCAGAGCAATGTAAAGGAAAGTCTTTTAAAACATGGTCCAGAGTCAAGTGGATATCCACATTTATTAATATAAAGAGAAACCCTGGCTCTTTCTTTGTAGAATGCATAAAAATTATGTTCAGGAGGATTGTAGATCTAACTATGAATGGTAAAATAATAAAGCCACCAGTTGCGTTTCTTAATCTTGAAAGTCTCAGAATAGGACTCCACTTCAATATAATTGCTTTCTTTATAATGCTATGTATTTATTTTATTCACTTAAAAATTATTCTGAGGAGTGCTCATAGTCTTTCTCAGACCCTCAAAGGAATCTACAGAACAAAGGAGTTCAGGAATTTCTGTAAGTCAAGATGAGATTATATTCATGATCTTGGAGGTAGAAACTATTTCTTAAATAGAACACAAAAAACAGAAACTATTAAATGAAACTAAGTAATGGTCTGCATTAAAATTAAGAACTCTTCTTTATCAAAGGCATCATTAAGTGAGTGAAAATGCAAGTCACAGAGTGCCGGCTCCCAAGAGCTAGGATTACAGGCGTGAGCCACAGCGCCCGGCCTGATACAAGTTATTTTTCAAATACATGTTTTGCAAAAATTTTCTCTTGCTTTGCCTTTTCATTTTTTAAAAGTGTCTTTTGAAAAGTAATGTTTTAATTTTGATGATGTCCAGTGTATCAACTTTTAATGAATTGTGATTTTTCTGTCCTACCTAAAATAATTTTTGCCTAATTTAAAATCACAAAGATTGTCTTCTGTGTTTCTTTTTAAAAGTTTTTAAAAATTAACTCTTTTGAGTTAATTTATAAATATGGTATAAGAATCTAAGTTCATTTTTTTCGATGTATGCCTAATTGTTTTGGCATCAGTTTTTGGAAAGGCTATTCTTTATCCATTGAATTGTGCTGTGAACTTTTTTCAAAATCAATGTATCATATATATTTGTGTCTATTTCTAGATTCTTCATTCTGATCCATTGTTCTGTATGCTGATATTTTACAGTTTTACAGTAGATCTAGAAATCAAATAGTGTAGTCTTCCATCTTTTTAAAAAAAATTGGTTTCCATTATTCTAGGTCTTTTGTTTTTCCATCTAAGTTTTAGAATCAGCTTGTTGATTTCTACCAAAAAAAAAAAAGCATATTTGGGATTTTGATTAGGATTGTATTGAATCAACAGACCAAGTCAGATAGAATTGAAATCTTAAGAACACTGAGTTTTCTGATCCATAAACATGATATTCTCTCCATTTATTTAGGTCTTTGATTTCTTTAATCAGTATTTTATAGTTTTCAGTATACAAGTCTTGTACTTCATTTATCAGATTTATCCCCAGATTATTCTCTTAAATAGCCAGGTAGTTCATGTTTTTGATGCTATCCTATTTATATTTATGGTATTAATTTATTTATTTATGTTTATTAATACAAACATATATATTGACACTGAGTTTTTTTTCTCATATTGAATTTTATCCAGTAGCACTTAAGAATGGTTTGCTTTCTTGCTTATTTATCATTATGTAATATCCTTCTTTATCTCTGGTAATATACCTTGTTCTAAAGTTTGTCTAATATTAAAATTACCACTCCAACTTTTTTAAAATTAGTATTTGCAATATTTTTAATCCTTTTACTTTTAACATATCCTTGTCTTTATATTAAATATGGATTTCTTATAGACAACGTATAGTTGGGTTTTTCTTTATTATCCAATCTTGAAAACATCTGCCTTTTGTTTAGATAATTTATATTTAACATGATTATTGATACCATTGGATTTAATTTTACTATCTTGCTGGTTACTTTTTATTCATTTCATCACTTCTTTGTTTCTTTTTTCTTTCAAATTATTTTTAAAAATTCCTTTTATCTCCATTATTAGCTAATTAGTTATACTCTTTTTTCCCTCTTTTAATGGCTGTCCCCAAGGGGTTTTACCCAAGGCATACACATGTTTCACTTATTATTATTGGTTTTTTTTTGGAGACAGAGTCTTGCTATGTTGTCCAGGCTAGAGTGGCAGGCGTCAGCGTGAGAGGAGACACAGAAGCTAATATTATAATGATAGAGGGACATCACTACCTAAGATCATTAAGGATATTATGAACAACTATGTAAAAGTAAATATATAGTATTTGGTAAAGTGGACAGACATCTGATTCTGGTCAAAGGATCAGGATTTACTCTCTCACCTTAAAAAAACTGGAAAATCAGACAAAATCAGTAAAATGATAATTTGCAGGAATTAAAAAGCAGACCACACCATACCATGATTTTTTAAAATTTTTTTTTTAAATTTCAGCATATTATGAGGGTACAAATGTTTAGGTTACATATATTGCCTTTGCCCCACCTGAGTCAGAGCTTCAAGAATGTCCATCCCTCATATGGTGTGCACCACATCCATTAGGTGAGTATATGCCCATCCTCTCCTCCCTCCTCCCATCTGCCCAACACCCAATGAATGTTACTATTATATGTGTGCTTATACTGTGGAAAGTAACACGGAGATGCCTCAAAGAGCTACAAGTAGAACTACCATTTGATCCAGCCAGTCCCATACTGGCATCTACCCAAAGGAAAAAGGACATTCTATAAAAAGACATCTGAACTAGAATGTTTAAACAGCACAATTCACAATTGCAAAGATGTGGAACAACTCCAAAGTGCCGTCATAAATC